GGCTCGGGGGTTCGGCTCGTCACTGTGTTGCTTCGAGGAGGGCACCGCGCTGGCGGAGCAGAGCTGTGTTTGGAAAGCAACCGCCGTCCCTGCCCTGGGAAAGCTGCTTTTTGTCCGTGATGAAAACCCCGTGGCAGCGATGAGCTTGGTACTTTACTGCAGGGTGGTGTCTCTTGGCTTTTTTTTTTTGCTGTGGAGACAAGAAGGAGATGTGGGCCTGAGGTTGTGTCTGGCCATGGTCACCTCTCATGCTCTTCAGTGAGGGGCAGGAGCTTCCAGCTCTGGGCCGGCTGCTCAGCCGTTGTGGGGGGTGTCCTAGTGTGACCCAAAGATTGGTTCTGATCTGAAAACTCAGGAAAACACAGAGATGACTCGTCTCTGCCCCAGGAAACATCCGTGTCCTGCTGCGTGTCCCCAGCTGTGTGACCTTGGGTGTGCTGTCCTGAGAGGCACGTTTTGGGGGTAAACCTCAACTGTTTCACAAGCTGACCCCCTCCTCTTTGTGTTTCAGCGTTGACAACAGTGAGTACATGAGGAATGGAGACTTCTTACCCACTCGCCTGCAAGCCCAGCAAGATGCTGTCAACATTGTGTGCCACTCGAAAACCCGCAGTAACCCCGAGAACAACGTGGGGCTCATCACCTTAGCCAAGTACGCCCAGCGGGGTCACTGGCCTCGGGGCCACTGCTCCCAGCAAGCAGGCAGTGATGCCGAAGAGCGGCTGGGGGGACCCCTGAGAGAGCATGGGGACAAGGAACAGGGGAGTGTTGCACAGCAGGGCAGTGATAGCACAGTCTTAAACCAAACCAGTTCTTCTGGGAGGACCGGTATGAGAAAACCTGGTTCCTGACTGGTCTCTAGCTTGTTGGGCTTGCTCCTGCAATGCCAGGTTGCGTTATGGAGGCTTTTCTCTCTCAGGAGCTCCCTGCCAGACCCATCCTTTTGTGGCCTTGTGTCCCAAAGGGTGGCAAGCAAGGGCTGAACTGTCCCTGTAGCTCACGGGTGGCCCCAAGAGAGTGGTTCCTCCATTTTCCTGAAGTCTGTAGGACTTCAGTGCCTCTGTGAGCTCCCTCTTAGCCAGAGTCAATTAAAATTGGCCAGTGGGCTCAAGGTTGCTGGGGCAGGGGACAGGGACACGCACAAGTTTTCACACAGACAGATTACTTTGGATTTTTTTAGGGGACCAGGATAAAAGTCTTGCTCCCTGTACGCGCTGACCCCCCAGAGCCAAGTGCTGGCAGACTCTTGGAGCAGGCACCAGCTGCAGGCTCAGCGCAGGGAGGGCTTTTCTTACCCCCGTAGCAAATAAAGGGTTTCGCAAAGAAATTCTCAAAGAAGAGGTCGCTAACGTAAGCGTGTTTGTGTTGCAGTAACTGTGAAGTGTTGACCACGCTCACTCCAGACACAGGCCGGATCCTTTCAAAGCTACACACGGTGCAACCCAAAGGGAAAATTACCTTTTGCACGGGGATCAGAGTTGCTCATGTAAGTGCTTTTATTGGTTCCTCATGAGCGAGCCTGTGCCTTTCTCTGGAATTCCTTTTCCCTTAGTGCCTCCGGTTAAATTGCCCATCCTGTTGATGGCTTGGATGTGGGACATCTTGTTCTCTTCCTCCTGCCTCTATGGCGGAGCAACGCCGAGCAAGTAATTTTAGTTTTGCCTCAGTTTCCCTATCTGCAAAATGCAGCTGAAACCTCCTTGGTGAAATCCAGTATGGAAGCTCAGAAGTTCACTGCTCTGGTCCTGGTTTGCTTCGGGGGAACCTGGCAGCTGCTTTGCAGGAGTCCAGCCTTGCTGCACAGCCCTTCCCGGCCAAGGAGTGTCCCCCAGGACATGGCCAACCTTGTGTCCTGTTTTCTTGCTCTGTCCCGGTCTCTCTGCCAGCAAACTGCTCCCAGCTGAGTCACGGCTCCAGCAAAGGGAGGCATGAGACAGGCCTGCTTGTAGGCAGTTGGGTGAAGCTTACAACTGAGAAGTCTCCTGGCATTTAGCCTAAATTTTCCTGCGTAACAGGGGGAGTAGCGGGGTGACAGCTGGCCAGCCCTTTTTCCTGAGAATTGCTGCTTAACTACAACGTGACTTCTGTCCTGCAGCTGGCTTTAAAACATCGCCAGGGCAAGAACCACAAGATGCGAATCATCGCCTTTGTTGGGAGCCCTGTAGAAGATAACGAGAAAGACGTGAGTAACGGCCAGCCAGAGGGAAGAGTGTTGGGTCAGCTCCATGCTCTACTTCAAATCAGGTTTATTGTTTGTTCCCCGCTCTGTCGAAGTGAGGCTTTATACCCCAGCGAGTAGGCTGAGCCGCTTGAGCAGGGCTGTTCTCAGCTGGGAGGGGGGAAGGCTGGACCCCTGGGCACAGCCAGGCCTGAGCCAGGACAGATCCAGATCTCCCACTGTTCGGTGTAGGATCCTGTCCCTCTCCTGGTTCAGGTGGGAGTGCCGTGTCCCACACCTCCCGGCTGTCACTGTGGGCTTTGTGCCTGAGGAGCTGCAGGAGGAAATCTGGGCAGAAATGCCCTCAGCCTTTGGAGATGCTGTTCTGTTGGCACGTAAAGTAACGGCCGTCAAGTTAAGCCCCATGTTCTTGGTCTCTTTGAGGAACAGGTTAGAAGCGTGAGGAGGTGCTGCCTGTCCCAGGCTCTTGCTGTCCCCATCGACGGGGACGGTTACTTTGGCAGGAACAGCTCCCTCGCTCGTGCCTCCCCGCAGCGCCTCGGGCACTGTGCGGTAGCGCCGGTCCCAACCTACTGAGGTGCAAAACCTCCTGCTGGGAGGGCTTGAAACTGGGAACCTGATTTTGGGCTTCGTGCCTCCAGGACCGAATCCTAAGCGCCGCTGTCGTCTGGTTTCTGACGAGCTGAGCATGGGTAAGAGCTGCAATCCAAGCTAATGCCGCGGTGTCTCCTCATTGCAGCTGGTGAAACTGGCAAAGCGTCTTAAGAAAGAGAAAGTCAACGTTGACATCATCAATTTTGGAGAAGAGGTGAGACTTCTGCCGTGTTTCTGGCATAAGATCCGAGGCAGGATTTTGTATCCTTTCCGGCCCAGAGCCATTTCTGAGGCGTGTGAGGATACGAACAGTCCTCTGAGCCTCGGTCTCTTCAGCAGCTGCCCCAGTAAAAATGCTAATGGGGGGAGTAACATTTCCCGCTGGGAAGACTCCTCTCCCGTTTTACTGCAGGCGTCGTTAAATGCTTTCCGATGGAAATAGCGGCGCTCCTGGCTCCCCTGCAGCGTGGAGGGGTGCCGGGTGTGCGGAGCAAGCCGTCCATCCCTCTCGCAGAGCTGAGGAGGGAGCCAGGCAAGCTCTAGTCCCAGCTTTTCTTTCTAGGAAGCCAACACGGACAAGCTGACTGCCTTCATCAACACCTTAAACGGCAAGGATGGCACTGGCTCCCACCTGGTGACGGTGCCGCCGGGGCCGAGCCTGGCCGATGCCCTCATCAGCTCCCCCATCCTGGCCGGGGAGGGAGGTGCCATGCTGGGCCTCGGCGCCAGCGACTTCGAGTTCGGCGTGGACCCCAGTGCGGACCCAGAGCTGGCTCTGGTGAGCGATGGGGAGGTGGAGGGCGGCTCTGGGCTCCCAGCTCGGTCCATCTGAGCTCTGCCCAGCTCAGCTGCCTGCCTGGCCCTGTCTCCGCAGGCTCTGCGCGTCTCCATGGAGGAGCAGAGGCAGCGGCAAGAGGAGGAGGCCAGGAGGGGCGCGGC